TGTAAAGAGATATCTAACCAGTTGTTATTTCCCATTAAATTAAATTACATTTAATTTTTTTAATTCATCGTAGTATCTCAGTTTATTCTCAGCGTCATTTTATCGAATGTAAGCAATACATAAACATTTTTTCAAAGCCCAATACAATTTTTTAAAACAAAACTAAGACCCTTAAAAAAATAACGATCATCTCAATCTTTTGTATGCATATTCCCTAATACCAAGTATGCAAATGATTATGTTTTCAAGGCCAATGAATATTACCTTCGGTCATACCTTGCGTTTCTACTGCTCAACTAGCATCGTATAAAACAGGTAATAACTGCAAACGATTTAACTTTTTTCGTTGTCAGCGTTGCAATTCCCTGGAGACAAACAAATAATGTTGTTACGATTTTGTCGAAGATTTTATAGACAATTGGACAACTTCAAATGTGGTCCCATAGTAAAGATGCGTAAAGCGGACTGGTGTTAACAAGCAATAGGCCTCCGGTTGCAACGTGAGCTGTTCAAAACTCCTAGCAACAATGGTTGCTACAAGGTACTCAACGGCAGAATCAAGGCCTTGGAAAATGAATGATGCACGAATGCGAGACAAGATTCGATAATTGTGAGACAGACTCAAACTACCCTAAGGCATCATTGTCGGCTATACAACGGGCTACAGCCTCTTAAATACCCCCCAATGGCTTATTCATCTCATGGCGCTCGGCTGAGGCGGGATTGTGCTCTTAGTTGGCCTTTAAGACTTGCACTCAAACCTACAACATCCACAGAGTCATCTGGGGCAGTGTTGTAGCCGATCATCATAGCTACCAACCAGCTGGCAACGCATAAAGTTCAGCGACGAATCCCGCTTCAGTCTCTTGGAGCAGATGACCATTAGATTCCTGTGGGGAGGGGCCAGCGGTCTCAAATACTCTTTCTTTTACAGTCACACAGCCATTACCCCCAAGTGTGATGATGCGGGGTGCTATTTCTTACGACAGCATGTCACCTCTGATCATTTTACATGTAAGTTAAAAGGCTCGACGATATGTTGATGACATTCTGCTACTGTTTGCGTTATTCTTCATGACACGCCATCCTGGAACCATTTTCCAATGGTATAATGCTATACCTCATACGGTTCGCATATCTCTGTACTGTCTGCGAGCTGTTGAAACTCTTCTTTCACAGCAATGTCACCAGATCTTTATTCAATAGAGCATATATATGGGATACGGTAAGCGGGCAGATTCGCGCAAATGTCCCAGATCTGGAGTAACAATTGAGGAATGCCTGGAAGAATGTATCGCAGGATGATATTAGGAACCTTTATCCCTCCTTACCTCAAAGTTTATAAGAATCGTCGCCGCCAGAAGGTTTAACCAGTTTTGCAGATTTAAGCATTTAATGTGCTATTTCTATCCATTGGTTCCTCCTATGGCCTTCAATTTTTAATCATTTCATTATCTATGTATGAGTGTTAAGCAAATTTAAATTTCAATAAAATCAATTAATTTCTTCATAGGGCTTTGCTTTGGAGAGGGGGGAAAAGAGTGAATCTTAACTAAATTTGGAGTACAATAAATATTTTTCATTATTGTTGTGAGCATCCTTTAGGTCATTTACAAAAGATTCGGCTCCTGCAAGTTAATCATTTCATATAATTTAAATACATATTCACTCCTTAATTTTTATTTTTAATTCTTATTACTTGTTATAAAAGGCAATTACAGTTTAATTTTACTATTATGCAACAAAATTACTCTGTAAACTTAAACTAAGTCACATCATAAAAAGCACGAATAATTTTAATATACACCTATAGTTGTGCACAAATTCCTAGTTTTATGTTTTTTGATAACTTCAGGTAAATGTCTGACGAGGATCGTATACATTATTTTTGGTACCTCTATAAACTGCTTTACGGGGATTTGTAGTTCAAGAAGACAGCAGCAGTAACTTTGCTTTCTCTTATTTTGAGTCCATCTTGTATTCAGCTTAAAATCGGTAGACTTCGGTTTGAAATGAGATTTGTAGTTCGCTGTGAGATGTCAAGTACATGACCATTTCGTATTCCGTTAAGCTGGATAGTTGTTTGTTCACAATGAGCACGTTCAAAGTCATTCAATCACCTTCTCTTAAGCTGTCAGAATGTAAAATTCAACTGGTTCTTTCAATGCTTAGATGCGGAATATCTTTTTGTATTTTTTCTCTAAACCTTAATGTTATTTTCTTCCAAAAAGTTAATGTAAGAGGAATATGATCATTATCTTCCTTTCTCATGCACAATCAGTGCACATACTTCCTATTAGGAAAGACAATTTAGTGTTTGTGTCCAAATTGTTATTTCCCCTATCATTGATAGGTTAATTTCGTTCATTTTGCTACAAATTTTGTCCAATACGCCCTTTTACACCCATTCAAAATTTAAACCTTAGTTAATGCTGCAATTTGGTCCATCAAAAATATTACTAGTACCTGCAGTTTCATCAAATTTGGTAACGCTTTTCCTCAAGACAGTTACACCTTACTTTAGTGTGCAGCATGATAGAAGTCTGAGTTTGCTTTTAACTCTGTTTTTAAGAGCTCCTTAATTTACGCAGTTTATTATTTTATTATTACACTTATTAATGAACACTTATTAGCTACACAACTACACCTCACAAAGCATCAAACGCATGGAAAATTCGTGTAAGAATCACTACGAAATCACAGCATGTTCGCTATATATATATATATATATATTGAGAATGTTTGAGAAGAGCCCACGAATTTTCAAAAGATCGAGAAAGAGAGAAAAGCTTCCCAAATGCTCAGTGTCAAGGAATAACCAGGCATCAGCTGCTAAAAGAGTCGGGAAATACAGCATAACAAGCGCTTCGAATGTAATTTGTAAATTTCTTACATTGAATTTACTTTTTGTTTCTTATTCTTCAGTTTCATTCAATTTTTAGTCCAAAGGGGCTTTGACCCTGATGAACTATTGTTTTTATTTTGCGATTTTGCGTTGGTTCATTATAAATGTCCGTTTCACTTTTCAAACTGTTGCCACCCAATGTTAGAGTCCTGCATTATATTTGAAGAAATTAAATGATGAAAAATCTGTATAAATGTATGTCTATTCCTCGCATTGTGATAAAACAACAGTACCTAGAGCCATCGAATTTTAAATGACGTAATCCTACTGCGAATATGGGCATCTGGAAGCCCAAATTTGAAATTTGGAATTTGTTTCCTATTTCGTATTGTGTAAAACTTTTAACGAATTTTTGATTAACAAACTCAAGGATTTCAAAGCGAGTAGTGGCAACGTTGTACAGAAAAAACATTTTTATCTCCAGCGCACGAGTCTCTCTGTATTTGAAATTCTAAAGATATGCTGATTTTAAAACTATTTTGCGATATTGCTGTTGAACTGAATTTATGGTTTAAAGTGCGAAGAACATGATATTTAATAAATAAAGGTAACAGACAAAATGTTAAAAAAACGCCCCCTTGGACGTAATTTAAAATCTGACTTTCAGATTTTTTTTTTTTTTCATTTATTTTATTTTCTTAGAGTGTTCGAGGAGACTTCTGGAATACACACAGAACCTTTCGAGTTTCTTTGTTCACAGTTTGAGAGCTCCTGCTACAAAAGTCCCACTCCCCAAGGACTCTACTTTTGTTTAACCGTCTTCAGAAAAATCTAGGTTTTTGACTAAAATTTGACACTACAACTTTCTTTCTATGATCAGGCAAGCTGCAGAGCTTTTATATATTTAACTGGAATAGGAAATACAAAACCTCAGCTATGCCCACAGCGGGATTCGAATTCTGAATCTTTCAACTGCCAGCTTGACGTGCAACCATTTACGACACGACAGCAAGCAGAAGAAAAGGAGAATATTCCTTGTATTCTTCCTCTTTTAAAGAACTAAAGAGGAAGGAAACCCAACCGCTGAATACAAGTGGTGACTGTCCGCCACATTTTAGTCGGAAGCTACTGGAGAGTTAAGGTTTTAGAACCGAGAAACATGAAAAACCATATATGGCCCGGCCGAGATTCTAATTCCTAATCTTCCGATTACTCGCCAAACGTCCTACCATTTACATTACGAGAATTACTACTCAGATTTAAGCTAACTTAGGGACGAAGTATACTTATTACTATTATTTATTGATATGTAACTTGAATACGAGACAGCTCCTCCTGAGAGAGCTCTCGAGACAGCTCTCTCAGCTCCTCTGAATACGAGACAGCTCCTCTTCCTTCGTGAAGGGTCTTAAAAGACCCTTCACGAAGGCATCCTTCACCTTAGGTAAATAGCCTTCAAATGTTTTCCCATAATCTAAATAACCTGACATATTTTTCATTGTAGTCACTCAACGCAGTTTTCCTTCGCTCGCCTTATCTAATGGTTTCCTTGTATTGTGAGAAGTAAATTTATGGAATCGTTTCCATTAACTGTGTTGAAAATTGGGAAAAATTTGAAGCATTAATGCTTTGCTGCATATAATTTTTTCAAATTTTGTATTTTTATAATATATATAATAATATAAATAAATGTATATAATAATATAAATTTATAATATAAATTATTTTGTATTTTTGAAACTTCAAATGTTGTATATTGTAACATTTTGCATTGCTTTATTTACGAAAGTAATCAATGTGTGTGGAGAAGTGTGTAGGCGAACGAGAAGTTTATTAAAAATTTTTTGAAATACGCAGCATCTGAAATGTTATAATTGTTTGCTAAACAAAAATTTACTTCGTGATTTTAATGTTGCACTGCGTTTAACTAAGTATCAATGCAACCTGAAGGCAAAAGATATTAAATTTTTCAGGATATTTTGCAAACAATGGGCTGGAAAGGTTTAATGGAAGCCCGACTTGCAGCGAATGTATTAAATTTATTAAGTATTAATTAATTTTAAAATGTATTAATTAATTTAAAATGTATTAATTAATTAAACAATTTATTAATTAATTAAAAATGTATTAATTAATTAAAATATTAAATTTTCAGGACATTTTACAGACAATGGGTCGGAAACGTTTAATGGAAGCCCGACTTGCAGCTAATGTAGGCAAAAGTGGTGCTAACACAGCGGAAGCGAATCTGCCGTCTACAAAGAAAGGCCAGTCAGATGGTGGGCGGAAAGGTGCTCTTAAATCTCGAACAGCCGTCTCTAAGCTAAAAGAAGATGTTCGAAGTTTAAAGAAGCTACTCAGGAGCCGATCGACACCTACGTATGACATTTCTTTTTTTGCAATACATCCTTATTTTCGAAAACTGGTTTTGCAATGTAGGAAATGGCGTAAGTGACGTGCGTCATTCCTATCTTTTGTTCTTTAATTATTATTTCCATTTTTATCTCTGAAAGGTAAGTATATCGCGTAACTCTCTTTCGCAGTTGATCGTCTTTCATATAGAGAACAAAGAATATGAGTGAATCAAAATAAGCCTAATTAAACTATAAAGCTTATTTATAATTTTTAAAAAATCGTTTTTAAGCTAGTTTCTTTTGGGGGGCAGGTAAGCAAATTTTTCCACCAAAAAGAAGTGTTATTACTCTATTATTAGCTATATGATATCCTTAATGGAAACTTTATATAATCCTTTCCTACAACAAATAAAAGAATGACTCATTTTATCATTTAGGGACATACATATTTCAAGTCAATCTAATGAAATTGTTCAATTTAATTACACATTCAAAGCAATTCTTTTATTACGTTTGGAATCTCATCTTCGTAAAGAGCTATTTTTAACAAATGAGCTTTAAAGTAGCACCTATCAACATCGGAATATTCCTTTTGACTTAAGATACGAGGGATTTCTACCATGATCTTGAATCTGACATTTACTTTAAATACTTATATTTGAAGCGTGAATTCCTAGTTGCACTATTTTAGTCAGACATTTCTGTAATATCTTTGGTAAGTCAGAAACACCCTGGGTTCTACTTACGTTGTAACCAACAATCTCTTCACCGCATATATGTTCTTTCAACTAACTGAATTCATGGAGTTAAGAAGTAGATGCATTGGACATTGTTTCCCAGATCTAAAACCCTGTAATCCCTATGTTTTCACTCCACAGTCCCTTTCAGTTATCGACCCTCGTTTTCGATGGGATGTTATGAGCGTCGATGATACTTTAGACAATATTTTCGATATTATTTTTATTTAAAGTTACGCAGTGATTTGTTGTTCTGTCACAGGATTTTCAGAAAGAACTAATGCATCAAAATATAAGGATTTTAGCTGCCATAAGTACGTCTTTCTGTACGTAAGGTAATTCATGTTTTCCTTTCCATTCGCATCGTTTTGCTTTCATCTGTACTAGAATTTCCGAACCGGAGTTATTTTTGTATTAAAAGTATCTGTCTATAGTTTACGATGGAGATTAGGCAATGCTGGATTTAATGAATATGATGTTATTTAAGTGTTATTTCTTAACCTTTTTATTGCTAATACAGTTAAAATAATATTTTATAGCATAGTTGAATTTTGCTTATTTGAAAATGAAAATTTAATTTTATTTACATAATTTTAAATTACTTTACTTTAAATTAATTACAGAATTATTTATAAGCAAGTAAAATCAAATAATTTTGATATCATATTGGTGTCACAGAAGCCATAAGAGCATGCACAGCTGGTTTTATCGCTAAAAATTTAAAAACTGAACTAAACTGAGAATAATGCATTTGGGCTGTTCATACTGTTACGAAATGTACAAACGCGGTAAGATAGCTTCCTCGCAAAGCAGTTTTAGGGTTGCCATAAAAATGGCAGAGTTGCCAGATTTGGCGAGAAATCGACCGTTTGGCGATATGCCATGGACGGATGGAGAACCTTCTGGAACGAATTCTTACCGGTTTAGCCCAGAATGTTCTCGAACACAAACCAAAAACTATATAAACCCATCTGGTACGCGGAGAGTTAGTGCGAGATAGTTAGTCTCGAGTTAGTCAGTCCGTGCGGAGTCGATCGACGAGTTCACAGCCGGGCAGTGAGTGCCGAGTGGGTCGTCGAGTGCATCGAAAAAGTCTTTTCGTGTATCGCGGTTAGTGCTTCATCGAGAGAGCGTGTTGAGCTCTGGGAACGACTGAAACGAAGAGTCGGGAGCCGTGCTCTGTGTGTCGTCAAGTGTGTCGCGAGTTGTAGCGGGGAGAGTCTCGATAATACGTGGGGTTCCGAGAACGACCAAGTAGATTCGGGGGCTGTACTCTGATGCTTTGCAGTGAAGCTATCTTCACCGTGATAGTCTGATTACCTGAAGGCTGTGTCGTTAATTGTTCCAGCGAGTTTATAGTAGATCTTCGACGATTGTAAACACGTGTTTTGGAGCTGTCCTGATTAATATCGGCTAAATAAAGTGTGTTTCGATACTCCATCAAGTGTCGTCGTTATTCATTCCAAATCTACGAACCCGGTACGAACGTGAAGAAAGAAAATAACTTAACAATACTAATGAAAATATCAGCCTTCACTAATTAATCATACAAAAGAAAAATACAGGCTTCATTTTCCCATCGAATGGTATTTTATATGTTTGCAAAGAACCAGAAATAGCTTTTCTACAGTGAATAATAATAATTTCTATTGTGAAATAACCAAAAAATGTCATTTATTATTAGCACATTACATTAACACTGATAGCACATTATTTTTTCTTGTATTAGAACACATTATCGGAAGAAATATGTATTATTCTTCATATTGCAAAATACTACATCAATATCCTGCTGAAAACCTATATTCTGTACTTAATGCGAGAATAAAGATTATCTAAAGATCAGAAGCATACATCGATGCATATACGTGTGCAAAAAAAAAATTCCGTTCAAAAGGGTTCCTGCCAAAAACGTTCCGTTCAAAGAAACGTAACTTTTAATAAATTATTTCTGCTTAAAGGAGAATAATTTTTAGGTTTATAATTTAGCAATACAAAAATATTAAATAGATATTAGCAATAAAAATATTCTTGAATGTGCTTTAATTTTGCTAACATGTTTAATAATGTTTTAACCATATTTTAATTTATTTAATTTTTACATTATTTAATTAATTAATGTAATTTATTTAATTTCTTCTTAATCAAACTGAATTTGAAGAGATCCCAGTCTGCTTTGCTTTGAAAATAGTGTTTTGCAAATAATGTGAATAAAATCTGTGAAATATTGTTATTAGTTTCTTAAGTAATAGCAAGATATACGTTTTCTTTTCGTATTATTTCCGTAGGATCATATTACACATTTCTACACACATATCGTGAAGATCACAACGAAAATGCTTACATTATATGACCTCCATAGCAATCTGTCTTTCCCTTAGAATTATAGAATGTAACTTAAAAATTATGCTTATTGATATAAAAATTATTATTTACATATTTTATTTATTTATTTATCATTTAATTTTTTGTTTATTTATTGAATTTTATTTTTTAATTAATATATTTTATAATTTTCCTCGGACTTTTGATGATATGGATGAAGAATTATGAGACAAGTCTTTAAATGTAAGGGAATAAGAGATTTTGTAACTTAAAATAGTCTCTATTTTTTGCTTCTAGTTATTTAACAGTTAGAGGATTTCCAGAAAAAAATACATTAATTTGATCATAATTTTTTACTGTTAAAGTATAATTTATTAATGTTACATCTGGATACGAATTTGACTTTACTGTCACTTAAATTATCCACCCATATTTATATAGAATAACTAATTGCTTTGAAATTATTCCCCCGTGCTTATCATTGTGATTTCGACATAATAATTATCAGCTTCTTTATGTTTATTAGAAACTGCTAATGTTCCCAAAATTTAATTATAATGAGTTTAAAAGTCCTTTTAGTAGTTTAGCAATTTACTTAAAAAGAAATGCTTTTATTAGCATGTTTAATATCGTGAAAAAACACATTGAATTATATGTAAATAGCAATTTCACTGGAACTATAAAAAGACAATGTCAGGGAAACTTATTAGCTGTGAGGCTTCAACCAGTTGGTGTAGCAAGGGTTGCTCCGTAGCCACTCCATTCCCTTCTTATATCTATGTTTGAATTACTCGCAATTAACCAATGTTTCTGAATATTTTAACATAATGATGAAATATAGATATATGAATAATTCGCACCATGATTCTAAATCTTATGAAAGTCTGATTAGGTATGCCTTTTAGATACTGTCTCATTATTTTTTGAGAAACATGTATTGAAGAAATCTAACAAACACAATTTTATCAAAATAACAGTATCATTAGTTGAGAAAATTTCCTTTTCTGGTTTAAAGTAAAATTAAGAGCTTGGGTTTAGATATTAAGTTCTTAAAACCCCTTATTTCAAATTTTTATGGACATAATAAAGCACGACTGTTCTTTCTACTTAAAAACATTAAATGAAAACGTGCTTTTTTTTTAACTCTCAAATGGTAAAGTTTGAATAAAATCTCAACTACTGAAGAATGGAGGACAGGAAATTAATTTTAATAGCAGGAATAAAGATATAGTTTGAATTTCACGACTGACATATTTTCTGAAGAACTTAAAATGATTTTCACGCATGAGCTCTTATAATAGCAGACCTCTCTGTTTATTTATCATCTACTAGTTGAATTTCATTTGCTTTCTTTTCCAGTGAAGCGAGTTCCAATTATTATTTTAACATTTACATTTAACATGTGAAATTCGAAATTTTATAACATTTGTGTTATTCGACTTCTTTTACGAACTTTGGCAATAAAAAATGAAACATAAGGTACGAAATAATTTTTCAAGTAATCTAATATATTCAAACGTCTTTTATCTGAAACACTTCTGCCGCGTTTTTACTTCATTACAAACATCACGGTGCAAGTTGATAAAGCATATCATGCAAAATATCATCAGATGTACTTGACGGTAATTATTTTCGACCTAGAGGGTTTACATTTTCCAGGAGATATTTAATTTAATTAATTTTTTAAACAGTCTTGTTCGAAATTGTTTAAAGCTACCATATACCGACTGTCCAAAATATTAAAATTACCTACCTAATAGCTAAATATGATATAAATCCTCCTTCTAGTGTTAAACAATGTCTAATCAAATTGCATTGATTCAACAAGATGCTGTTAGAGATCTGGTGACATTTAGTATTAAAATTTCAATAGAAGAAATTGCTGGCCTTGTTGCTAGACGAACTTCTTGGAAACACCATTATGATTTAATAAACATGTGATTTTATAAGCATGATTCTACTCATATTTCTTCGATTCAAACTACAAATTCTGCATTGGGCTCATATCCGGCAAACCCAAAGACCTGAAAATACAGAAATTTGTTGTCGTATTCTTGGAATCATTATTTAGCCTTATAGATACATTAGAGTTTTTTAAATAGGAGACTTGAAAAATGAGCAATGGCCTAGTCGAGACTCTGATCTCTCGATACGCGCCTAGGGTGCTAACCGTTACACCATGAAGGCATGTTGGATGGAGGGAGAAAATACCCTATAACCTTGTTAGCAAAAGCGTGTGGAGGACAGGAGACATTTTCCCCCACAGAATATCGCCATGGTGGGTACCCTAATAGCCACGATGATTAGGTGTGACTTACTCAAAATGTTTCTTCTTGTGAGATGAATCTGAATGCTACCTAAGAAAATATCATTCGGGCCGTACTTCTCCTTCCAGCATGATCCCCAATGTCAATGCAATCCACAGTACTAGCAACTGAAACCAAATCCTTGGCTAAACGCCAAAGAGTCCTTCCACCCACAGCTGGTAGGGGGAAGAGATTCTTTTGAGTCAGTGATGGGTTTAATGTTTTTGGTTGGTTGATATGCGTTTACATTATGAATAAGTTAATGTTTATTTCTGCAGTGGCAAAAGCGGAGATTCAGAAGAAAATGTTGAAATGAAACCGATCCCTGCCTCTCGTGAAAAAGTAATAACAATCACTGAGAAGCAACCAGGAAGAAGAAATGCCTCTATTAGGAAATTAATGAGGTCAGTGACAATTTTTTGGTATGTTATAAAAGTAAACTTGTTTCTTGATGGCTCAGTTTTTTATCAATGTAAACACTAAAACAGCACATCAAAGATTTTTCAAATTTAATTAAATTTGAATGTAAACTTTTATTTCTATAAGATTCCAAACATATGACTTTATTTCACGTTCCAAAACTCGTATTATTCGTGTAAAATATAGCCCTCATACAAAATCAGCAGAACAAAAAAAGGAAAAGGCATTTGTAATATCTACCATCATCAAAGGGTGTAAAAACTGTACACTGGTGGAGTGTTAACCTTTCGATAGTTTCAAATTTTCTTAACTCATTTAACTAAACTGTGTTAAGTAGATAGTTAGCCTTTTTTGCAGTTGGATAAAAACTAGTTTGGTGTAACTTAACTAATTTCAATACAAGATAGATAAATAGCATAAAAGAAATAGAACTACTGAAGTATTGATTAAACTCTACAGCTTTTAGGTAATAATAAAATTAACCTGTCATTTAAAGCTCCTCTACTATGTGCAAGGATTAGAATTCTGTTTACAGTTTCAGTCGCAAGTAATCATCAGTCAGTGATTGTGGGCTTTACTTAAAAGTAATAGCTAAGCCTTAATTTAGAAGCTTTTACTGAGTCCAGAAACAGCAAATTCACTTATATTCTACCTTTAGTCTAATCTCCCGAGTAAGTCTTTTAACGTTTTGATTTAGTAAGCCAAGAAAATTTAAACTTCAATTAACTTTTTCTGTGTCAAAACCGGATTAAGACTTTTAGAGGTCTAAAGCACTTGAAACATTTTCGTTACAACAATATTTTCGTCACTCCCCTCTCTCAATTTTGTTTAGCTGCACTACGTATTCCAAGGTACAAAAGACAATGATAAATTTATTGGTGCTCCCTTTCCTTGATGTCCTAATCACATTCTTATATTCCTTAATGGCTAATTCCTGTCCTGACTGTTGTAAGAACTTACAGTGATTACTTTTTAGTGATTTAAAATTTTTAATGAATTGAGAGAGTGTGGTCAATCGTATTGATAATCCTTTACTACGAACTTCTAACCTCTGCTGTATTCTTCTAAATACTACTTATCTTTCTTACTTCTATAGTGTATTGAGATGTTATGTTATGCTATGTAGAAGTGAGGGAGGCCACCTATTATTTATCCTAAGTAAGTAGGTATTAGCCCCACACATTTAACTAGAAAACTATCAACATTCTGACTCATTTAAGATGGCAGTGAGGAACGTAAAACGGAGTAACTAAAGTAAAACTAGTAGGTTATCTTAACTTGTAAAAAATTAACACATTCTTTTGTGCGGCGTTACTCCAACAAGTAAGCAAGTGGAAGATCGCTGTCCGAATCCCAGTAAGGTCATAATTAATTTTTCTGTTTCCAATTGATAAAAATAAAATAATCTCTATAAGGATATCTTCTATTTTCGATTTAAAATTAACACGTATGCTAAAAACCATTGGTGTACATTAGAAACTCAATTCCAACAAATTTGATTTCTGCACTTTAATTCTTCTTCCTATTTAATATAATTGTTAGAAGAAATACAGATATCAAAAGCCAGTAGCAAGTTAATATATAGTTATTCATTTTAATCTTTCTTTTGTTTAGGAGGATGCATTTAAAAGGAGAAGATGGGTCAAGTGGGGTTAAAGGTACGTTGAATTTTAGTTGCAGTTTATTTCAGTTATTAGTTTAAAAGTAATTTTAAGGTTAAAAAACTTGTATATGTAATAAATGCTTTATAGATAACCTTAAGGAATACTTAAACAAACAGTGCAATAAATCTGATGTCTGCTGTTAAAGGTACCATTTAAAAGCAATATCTTTCGAAGGTAATCTGCAAAAAAGGAGCTAAAATGATATGGAATGATTAGTTTTGTTTGACTTACTGATTATCCCTAAAAACTATGCATAACATTGTATTGTTCCGAACATTTCAAAACCACATATGATATTTAGAAGCATTTCTATTATATTTTTCTTTGAATGTCACAGACTTAAATCATTCTAATGACCTATACGTGCTTAGTATTGCTCTCATATTGTTTAAGTGTTCACTTTGTAAGGCATTCTTTCGGCGCATGCTCTTGAGCATATGTAGCTGACAGTTGGAAGATCTGTGACTCGATTCCTGGCGAAGCCACAATTGAATTTTTTCGTTTCTTACGCAACGGAAAAAAAAACTTAATAATCTCTGCAGTGACGCCTGAACTAAACTGTGATGGGAAAATAATCAATCCTCATCTGGATATGACAGGCGCATTCTCGTACCCTCTCTACCGTAATCATGCTTAAAAGATAAAGAAAATAAATTATTAGACACATGCAGATATTTATAATATAATTATTAGCGCATCCAATTAGCAATTTAAAAATATCTATTCAGATTCGAAGTGAAGGCATACATCATTATTCAAGTTTTCTGTCCTGGAAAAACTAACTGTCACTTATTGATCTATGCACACCTATTTTGCTACATCTTTCAAATCTTCCGAAATCCCGATGAATAATCCGTGTATCTTGTTTTTCCTTTATACATAATTAATATGCCAGAATGCTAATGACGTCAATGCTGATAGGGTATTTTTAATGCATTAAAAAATTAAAAAGATTTTTCAACTGCTATCAATTATAAGCTAAAGAAAATGCTTTATTAAAAGTTTTGCAGTATCTGATTTCGGGGTGGTTTAATTTTCCAAACTGTATTTCGTGCAAGAACCTGCATTAAATAACAGGCACGAAATCTTGATTATACAAGCCACCTATTTAAGACATAAACTGATCATCCAAAGTATAGTTCGTTCTTTAAAAACGTATAAAAATGTCTGATGTGGACACCGCATGACTTCCTTGTACGGCCTATTAAATTATACACCTTTTTTGCTGCACTTCATTTAAATTTATTTCGTCGAATTTCATTAGAGATATATTTCTCATTCAATCAATTCAGTTCTCACTTCGCAAGAAAACAAAAAATACACAAGAACTCAAAACATCCTCATTAAAAAATGAGAAATAAAGAAAACCTGAAACACCAAATACAGATTAGGACAGTTAAAAAGATATTTTTGCGATTAAAATTGGAGTTCCTACTCCAAAACAAGCAATTATTCCAATGGGCAGAAAGTCAAAGCTTTCGGTGCACACAAAATTTTAACTTGAATTTTGGTTCCACTGGGCAAAAAGACATTTCAGTTAGCTCACCAACAGATTTAATTTACTGTATTACTAAGAATTTCAAATGAAAACAAAAAAGAGCCCTTTATTCCGTCCGTAAGTACAACACTGACCTACTGAGCAACTTCCGACCTGAACTTAAATGAACATACTTTATGTTACATTTAATCCAGTACTAAATATTTTTTAAAGTATTTCATGCAAGGTTCAAGTCATATAACTCAGAGGTACAGATGTCATGCAAAAAAAGTCATTCAACTGGATTCAAAATCGGTCAAAATTGGTATTTTTGTTGAAATTATGATACCCAAAATTTTTCGCCACTACAATACTTCTTTTATTTCGAACAGGGAAGTAAAACTGGGAAACTTTCTGAGATAAAAATGTTTGTAACAAAGCAATTTTTTAATTCACATATTTCAAAATAAATTTTATGTTAAAACCAATCAAATTAAAGACTTTAGATTTTACCTTCAGTCCTAACAGGTCGTTTGGCAAGCTTCCGATCCAAGCCAGGGCGACTTATTGGTGAATCAACATCGATATCCACTGAGAGCAGTGCAGACTCAGCCACACCTCTGAACAAAGGTTTGCCTTTATTGCAAAGAGTGCGGATGCTAGGGGAGCAAGAAAGAAGAGCAGCAGCAACTCAAGGGGCAGCTCCAACCTCCCCCCAAAATGGCGCCAATGCACCCTCAGAAATAATTGGGGAAGGTAGGTGAAAAACAACAAGTACAGAAAGGCGTAGTACGTTTCCATTAAGAGAATAATTTAATTATGTCCGCAAAATTAAACAAAAAAATAACCAAAGTTTTGATGTTTTTTGTTTTTATTTTGTTCATTAAATCCTATGGAAGTCGTTAATTAATTTTACTCTGCCTAACGTAGTAATATTAGAAAAGAATGTTTTTGGAGGCTGTTATTTTGATTTTACCTAAAGGAACAAGCGAAAGAAATCTTTACCAATATGTTTTACTCTTGTTATTGATAAAATATTACCTTGCATAACTAAAATTATGCACAAAAAATGTATGCTTAAAGTATTCTATTGTCAATCGGTATTACTTCGGTGATCACCGGTTCTTGCTCTGAATGTTGCTAAGTACCAAGGATGTGAGAAAATCACATCCTTGGTACTTAGCAACATTCACATTCTCGTAATTTCGTGGTTGTGCCTGTCAGTCCTTCCTGTCTTATTTTTTTTTTTTTTTTAAATTTCATAGTGGCTGTTTCCTGTGGACACTCTGAGTAACATTTTTGTTAATGAGATGGCTAAATCACTGATTGTCGCCGTCGTTCCTAATGAATGTTTCTGTGCATTACAGCCGACAATACCGCAGCAAAAACATCGCAAACGAAAGCATCGCGGAGAAAACAACGCAAGGCGAAAACCTTGTGGTACAAAGCATCGTGGGAGAAAGAAATCAAAAAGAAAACATCACAGTTCTCAAACATCGAAATTAAAGCAGTTCAGAAGCTTCGCAGTTTAAAAACGTCGTCGTCGAAAATATTGTGGTAACACATAAAGCACCTACAAATCATCGCATCACCATAGCATTGCACACATGTGTTTTTGAGGTTTTAAAAGTTTCAAATGCATATTCGCATAAAGATTTGTAAGAGCAAGAAATGTTAGCGATACGGACGGAAACAAGCAAGAATAAACGGAAACAAAACAAGGTATAATTTTCACCAAAACAATATCAGATTAACAAACATGAAAAAAAGTAATTTGATAATTAATTAAGCAATTTTTCGAGGTAACCTCATGCAGTTATTTATCTTCCTTTTTCTAAATAATTTTTAGGCTGTATTTTTCATGAAAAAATATGAGTAAAACTTTATAAAAACGATTAATTTATTAATGACCTTTGTTAATCAACTATGTAAATTTAAAATTAAATGCTACGAGTTGCATTAATTTTCTCTACCCATTTTTAGTTTTTAAATGCTTAAGTTTCCTTCTTACTTTTTCAACAAATATTTATTAGTTCACTGAAAAATATGAAATAAGAAGTAAAAATATCCCTTTTTCTTTCTTGTGTTTCCATGATGCGAAAATGTGTTTACAGCTTTTAAAACCTCAAAAATGCATGTGTGCGATGTTATCGTCATGCAATGATTAGTAGGCACTTTATTTTTTTACCACGATATTTTTTGACAACCATGTTTTTAAACTGCAAAGTTTTTGAGCCTCTTTATTTTCGATGACGGTATCTTGTACCACGATGTTTTCTCTTTGCCTCTTTTTCTCCCACGATGCGACTCCATGACGGTTTCACCTTGCGTTGTTTTCTCCGTAACGTTTTCATCCGCGATGTTTTCGGCGAACATCGTTTCAGAATAGGTACAGCTGTTTGGAAAAAAAAGTTTGATAAGTTTTAATCCAATTATATCTTCCTTAAGCTCATCAACAACTTTCAGAAGCAGCCTGATGGATAGATTTGAGAAGTATTTATTGCTCATTATCCATTAAAGCAAGCTAATTAAAATGATTTGAATTCCTTAGTGAAAACGCCATCAGTGAAAGTTTTTGAACTTGTTTCGTGAATTATACTGCATTTTGTTCTTCGTCAATTTAGTAAACCATTACGGTCGAACGCGCGAAACTGATCTGGCACCTTATCTTATTACACCTCTATTATGCATTACTAAACTTTTTATTTTCAATTCACCCTTTTTGGTGGGAATTTTCAGTCCGTTCAATTGTCAATATTAATACTCTTAAAAACCGATTGCTTGGGCAGAGTTTTTCCCAATACAAAATTTTAATATTAATAAGAGTTTCAATAAATATCTCAAAAATTTTAGATATGAGCATGTATAAATTTAAATATATTGATATCTTAAGTTTATTTATACTCAAAATAAAATTGGCAAGTTTTGAAATTCTTTTATATTGAGATAATTTTACCAACTATTCATTTCACATTAAATCAATTAAATCATACTTAAGTGTGTTATGTAAATGAAGAGACTAATTAAAATAACAAATAATAGAAATTATCATGTAATCAAATTTGCTTCAATTTCTGCTTTACAGAATCTGTTTTTCAATATGGTTTCAATTTATCTGTTATAGAATGTCTGTTTCTGAAAAGCTTTGAAGTCACTGCCTAAAAACACTTAATTTCATCTTAAGTCAGTGTTTCAGGCTGTACTGTGAATTGACCAAAGTATAATTAAAAGAAAATTACCCAAACTATGATGTCATTAAATTTCTTAAAATTTATTAAGGTTATTAAAGTTATCCAATTTGTGCGTTACGAAGCGTATTTTTATGATGCGTTTTGAAGTTATTGCTTTAAAACGCTTTTTCACTTTAAATCTATTAAATGGTGTTTTAATTCAAATTTATTCTCCTATGAAAGAATTAAATTCTAATTAAAGCAAGCTAATTAAATTTGAGTTCGATTTCTTCGAACCTCTCTTACTGTTAAAGAACATTCTAATTATTTTTTTTAATATTAGACTATTATTTATTTAAATTTGTTTATGGTAATGTATCGCAGAATGTGAAAAGGGAGAGTTTCAAAAATTTAAAATAATATGTTCCGATTACAAGCAGTGTGAATAACAAACTTAAATTCATTTATTTTAATTACATTTGGTTAGTAAGAAATTTTCATCGTAAAGTGTAAACATTGTTTAGCTACCTTATTCTTATATTACTAAGAAATATATCATATGTCATGCTATTCCATTTATTTATACATACCACTCGCTTCAATTTAACAACTTCACTGCACTACTGGATATGTTTTGCTTATAGTTTGCTTAACATCGATTTCTCAGCTCTTCGCTGTATCTTTCAAATATTCTTTAAGAGAACTGTGAAATTTAGAAGGCAAAAATGTCGCAGAAAGTTATAAAACAGGCAAACATGGAATAAACAAAGTAATAATACATTCTTCTAAAAGATTTCTTTATTGAAAAAAAATAAAACACAATATTTACATGATGAAGTCAAAATATTTATTTTGTTCCAGGGAAAAAGTGAAAGTATCTGAAAGCAGCAATAAATCAGTTAAAAAGCACTACTTACCTGGATCAACTCTTACTCTGCTGAAATTCAGACTTGAAATCTGTTGAAATTCAGGCCGCAACTTTTTTTTTTTTTTTTAATTCAGGAGGAAAACATCAAATAAAAAAGATTTCTATTTGCGAAAAATCAGGAAAATGAAAAAAAATCTGACAGTTTTCAGAATTCATATTACACTCAAACGGCCCTTCTTTTTAAATATTTAAAAACAACATATCTTTAGAATTTCCAATAGGCAGTCTGGCGCGCTGGAGATAAAAATATTTTTCCCCAGTACAGTGTTGCCACTGCTAGCTTTGAAACTGTGTTTTTTAATTAAAAATTCGTCAAAGTTTTACAAAATGTGAAATAGACAAAAAAAAAAAAAAAATTCGGAATTACAGATGGCCATACTCGAGTGGAGGACTACGTTATTCAAAATTTGATGGTTCCATGTACTGTTGTTTTCACAATGCGAGAAACATACATACATACATACATATTCATACAGATTCTTTATTATTTAATTTCTTTAAATATAATGCAGGGCGATAATATTTGGAGGCAAGAATTTGAAAAGTGAAACGGACATTTATAGTGAACCGACACAAAATGCCATTTCTAGACTAATAACCCTTCTGGGCTAACGCTCTTTTGGGCTAATAATTTTTATATGTTTGGGACAATTCTGCCACATTTCAATGACTTTAGAAATTTACATTTCTTAGAAAAACCATCATCTTTACCAAATCAGGTAAAAGTTATCTCAAGTCAAAGTCACAACATTATTTCATCATCTAAATAAAACAAAATTTTGAATTAAAAAAAATCTGAAAGGTTTCAGATTTTAAATTACGTCCAAAGGAGCGTTTTTTTATTAAATATCACGTTCTTCGCACTTGAACTATAAAATTCAGTTCAGCAGCAATATCGCAAATAGTTTTAAAATGAGCATATCTTTAGAATTTCCGATACAGAGACTCGTACGCTAGAGATAAAAATGTTTTTCCTGTACAACGTTGCCATTGCTCACATTGAAATCCTTAATAAACAAAAAAAAAAAATTCCAAATTTCAAATTTGGGCTTCCACATGCCCATATTTGCATGTAGTATATGATTAAGATTACGTCATTCAAATTTCGATGGCTCTAGGTACCGTTGTTTTATCACAATGCGAGAAATACACATGCATTTATGCAGATTTTTCATTATTTAATTTCTTCAAATAATAATGCTGGACTCTAACATTTCGTGGCAACAGTTTGAAAAAGTGAAACGGACATTTTTAGTGAACCAACGCAAAATCGCAAAACGAAAACAATAGTCTTTTCAGGAACAAAGCCCCTTTGAACTAGTAATTATGGAAGAAAAAACGGTCATTGCTTTTGTAAATTAGCCAGCCAAAATATTATTATTCTTCCCTTTTGTACATAAAAAACTCGCATATTATTATAATATATTTTAATGTAATTTACATCGCTTCTACTTAAAAGTTTTAAAACTGAACTGAAGTTAAATTTCTCGCACGTTTTTAATTTCAGGTACCTTAGTTCTTTAGAATATTATTTATGCTAGAACATTTTCTAGTAAATGAAAAAAGTGTCTAATCACTCTACTGTTAAGCTGAATCTTAAATTAGGTTAATGACCGAAACTTAAGTAGGCATCCTCATTAATAATAATGACTACCTCTTTAACTTTTCGGCGAAAAGATAAATATTTTCCGACGCAAACGACCTCCCTATTAAATTTAATCCTTGATCCCACTAGGATCATTATCTATTATATTTTGCTTCATCACTACATGTTTATCAAACATGACACATGAGTATGATCAAGCAATTTTTTTTTTATATTAGACAAGATTATGGTAATCATAATTATGTTGAATCTTTGGATTGATACACATTTAGTTAAAAGCGCTAAGAATAGGACAAGGAAAATTTAACAAAAATTTCTTCCATAGGTAAAAAAAAATTTTTTAGATACTCATAGACCAAAAGATTACATTTAGTGCTATTTGAATTAAGAATAACTCATTTGTTTTTCATATAAACCCAGAACCAGCGCCAGAGCTCATATGGCCATACCGGGTGGCAGAATTTAGGGAAGACAAGATTTTTGGAATTTAGAGAAGCACCGGGCAACAAAATTAAAAGGTGAAAATAATTTTAGAATTTAGGGAAAGCACTGAGATCCAAAATTTAGGGACACAAAAATTTAGAATTTAGGGAGGAGCTTGGTAGTCAAATTTAGGACATGCTGAAATTGCATCAGGTGGTAAGATATCTAGCGCCGGCTCTCGATAAGCCTTAAGTATATGTGAGAATTTTTTATTCAGGATTAAGATAAGCCTTAAGCATGTGTAAGAAATAGACGTTAAATATAATACATAACTAATAACAATTACGCTTAATTCTGTAAGTGCGCGATAGAAGCAAGACAAATTTTAGCAGAGCAACTTGTCTTTCGTCCCCAATCTCATGATACAATGTATAGCGAACACTATTAAGATGGGCTAAAATTATACTTTACAGATTCGAAGGAATTTCAGCCAATACAGCAGATTGCACTATTCCTCAACTTTCTGATCTGACCCAGCTTAATTATTTTTTGCAGACTGTTTTTAACTACAGCAATTTGATGAAAATTAAAGTATCAAGTTTTAATCATGTTGAAAAGAGTTTCTAATTCTAAAGCTGCAAATAGGATCTACAAAGTGAAAGCATGTTTCAATGTCCATTAAACAAAAAGTGGAAAGTGCTGCAAAAAATGGATAAAAGGTATATCCGTCTCAAAATTATGCAAAGAGTATGGCACTGGAAAGTCAACTGTGTATGACACAAGAAAACAGAAAAATAAACTTTTTGAACTTTTTGTGGATTCTGACACCCCATTTGCAACAAATAACAGAAAAATTATTCATTATGCTGAATAATTTTTGATTGACAAGCATTTTGCATTCTTTATTCAGATAATTGGTGCTTTTTTCTAAGCTTTAGCCCTTAGAAATGAATGGAAAGGATAGTCTCGGCGAGTTTTATGTCGACGACCTGTCAGATTGTCTTGACTGCCGTTCAGCAAGTAGTACTGATGACGAAAGTGATAGCAGTAGTATAGCCATTCGAAAGCGATGTCTTGTACCACTAATATACAGTGATTCAGAAGATGAGGACATGAATAATAATGTTGAAGACAACAATGATACATGGTCAACGAACGACAACAGTATAATTTTGGAACCTTTCGAAGGCAGCTCTGGCGTAAAAATTGTGCCAAGTTCCTCTGAAAGCGTAATGGATATTGTGAATTTATTTATTGTAAGTGACCTGATTGAGCACTTCGTGAGGCAGTCTAATAGATACCATTATCAAATTGTGGGAAAATATAGAATTACATCAAAAACGAAAAAATGGAAAGACGTCACCGTGACTGAAATGAACAAATTTTTGGGCCTGATCATTCTCATGGGACAAGTAAAGAAGGACGTTCTCTACGATTATTGGTCTACAGACCCGATCTATAGAAACGCCGTTCTTCTCGAAGGTTATGAGCAGGAACAGATTTTTACAAATAATGCAAAGCTGGCATTTTTGTAATAATAACGATATTTCTCCCAATTTCGCATAGGCTGGTGAAGGTCCAGCCTGTCCTTGATTATTTCAAGGAAAAATTTAACAACATATATAAACCAGATCAACAATTGTTTCTAGATGAATGTTTAATTCCGTGGAGAGGTAGACTGTCAATCAAAACATATAATCCAGCAAAAATTACAAAATATGGAATACTGGTTAGACTGCTGTCTGAAGCTCGTACAGGATACGTATCCAACTTTTGTGTGTATGCCGCTGATGGAAAAAAATTAGAAGAGACAGTATTATCGGTCATTGGACCGTATAAGAACATGTGGCACCATTTATATCAAGATAATTATTATAATAGTGTCAACATAGCTAAAAAAATTTTTAAAAATAAATTGCTAGTGTGCGGGACGATTCGAAAGAACAGAGGTCTTCCTCAAATACTTCAAACGGTCAAGCATTCAAGAGGCCAACATCAATTTCTTAGAAATGGCCATATTTATTACAAGTATGGGAATAATGGCAAAAGGAATGTAAACATGATATCGACAATACATTTTGCACAAATGGCGGAATCTAGAAACAGAAGCAGGAACATCAGATTGCCCCATACAGAAGCCTATTTCAATAATAGATTATAATAAATATATGAAGGGCGTAGATCGCGCAGATCAATATCTTGTCCTATTACTCCATTTTTAGGAAGACAAAAAAATTAACGAAACGTGTCGTAATGTTCTTCATCAATTGTGCACTTTTTAACTCCTTTAAAGTATAAACAACTCTGAACGGACAGAAGATTACATATAAAAATTTTCTGCACAAAGTGGCACTTTCATTGATAGAAGACTGTGAAACTGAAGAACAAGGTAAGGATTTACCTAATTCTGAACCCACAAGAACCACATCTCGATTTGATCATCCCGGAAGATTGGCAAATTTCGGAAAGCATAAACTAGTAAATATAGTGACCAGCGGTCAATGTAAAAAACCCCTACGACAATGCAGAGTTTGTGCAAGTAAAAAAAAACTAAGCAGAACAGGTTTCGCTTGTAAATACTCCAACGTTCCACTACACAAAGGTGACTGTTTCAACCGCTATCATAGTTAAAAAAAAATATTAAACAACTTTTTTTGACAAATATTGTTATATGAATTATGGTATAATTTATGTAAATAATAAACTGAAAACTATTGTAATAGATAAAATAAATATTGTTTAACACTAATATGATTAAAGTAAAAGAATAACACGAAGCATACAATTTTACCAGAGTTTAATAAAAGCGCATATATTCCCGCACGTCAGTCTAGGCCGAAACCGAGCTGGTGTCTCAGGCGATCTGCGACTGAGTGGGCGGTGAAAGGGCATAGTATGTTAGAACCACTACTGGTTGGTAAAGTGTTAAGAGCAAAGCTGAAGTGCGTAGTTATGCAAGATGGAAGCATGCAAAGGGAAAAGTTTGGTTTGCGATTTGGTGATTGGTCAAGAGGCATCTGCATTAAGGGTTATGTAAGATCACATGATTAATTTGAATGACTCAGTTTAGACTTACAGCACTATTTTTAGGACAGATAGATGAAGTTCCCAAATGAAATAGAAAATAAAAGAGGTTATTAGAGAATTAAATTAGAAGTTTGCTTTCATATTTTTTGTCTTACACATTCCCCCCTTCAAAGAAAAAGGCGAAGCGATAGAGAAGCCTTTTGAGAGAAAAAAACATTAGAGTAGCGAAACATGAGATATATAATTTGAAACATACCATATAATGTTAGCTTTCGAACAATAAAATTATAATACGTAAAATTTTTAGTTCAATAATAATTTAAAGTCCTCTGAAGATTTGAGTCCAATTGTAGAAATGTCTTTTTTCTGGAACATTCACATCACAATTTTGATATTTTCAGGGAAGGAGTTTCCAAAAACTTTTTCCACACCAAATCACAATTATAAAGATTTATATACCCATTAGTATTACGAATGATCATAAATCTTAATTTTACACCAATTTCACATTTATAAGAAATACTTATCTTTTGAAACAGCATGATTGAAATTGTGGTTTACTTTATACTACATTTTACATTTGACATTTTAACAAACTGGAAGACCCCACGGCTTTCTCCTAGTACACACATCCAGCTATTTGGGCAAATCCCCTTTAAACAGACTCATGTATTAAATTTTCATGAGTGCTTAATGAACTGCGCTACAACATTCCATTATATTTTAGCTTGTGCCATTAGCATTTGACCCATCAATGGCACGCCCTTGCTGCAAAGATGTCTGAGCCATTCAGTTATCACTTTGTTGTGATCTTCACTTCAGCGGAACGGACGACCAGTCCAGCGCTTCATCCGTAAGCGCTGGGGATCAAAAGTGGATTAATCGAAGACCGGTTGGTAAGCGCTGGGGAGCAAACGTCGATTAATCGACGGCCGGTCGGTAAAGTGTTAACTGTGCTAATATGTAATTCCGCTGGCTTTCTTTCTATCTCAACAATATCAAAATCTTCTGTGGAAAGGAGTGCCAAGTACACCAAGTGTGGACTGAAGTGACAAGTGATTGTGGCCACAAATATCAATGCAATAAAATGAATTAAAACTGCTGTGACTGCCAAGTTCTTTAGATACTACGCAATCAAAATTCTTCTTCAATATGGATCTAAGCATGCATTGACATTGCTCCGCCTTTTCCTTGTGCTCTTATTATTTCATATATATATACATTTTCGGGTACTTGCTATGAGATCGTCTTTCACATCTATGAATTTAAATAATATGAGTGAATTTCAATTCACATCAGTAACAGAAACAGCAAAATGACATAATAATTTAAAATGAATGGAAAGAAAACTGAATTAAAAAAGAAAATTAAATTACAGAATTAGAGCTACGTCATTATAAGAACAGGGTAACAAAAAAATAGATTATTTTGCACTTGTGAACTGCTGAATTAAAAAAATGAGAAAATTTAATCTAATTCTGCTGAACTTTAATCAGAACTACATTAAATGTTGATCTGAAATTTCAAAAATGATACAGTTCTACCATATAAATTTAAATGCATTGTAAATGGCATCAGGGTAAAGCATGATTTTAGAAATGGTGGATTTTCAGTAGAGTTGGTATGTTTCTTCCATGGCTGCAAAATCAGATGTAATAGTCCCCCCCTTTTATTTCATATTATTATTATTATATTTTACCTCATATATAACACTATGCAATTTACATATTTTTATTACATGTATATTCGGCCTCATTTGTAAGCATGCAAAAACTTTCTTTGATAATATGTATGTGTTTTTTTAACACTTGCTCTGAAATATTTTCTTATGCTGAACGGAGATGCTTTTGCTAAGGGCTACCAATTACAGGAAAGAGGAGCTTTTAGATAAAGAAAAGGCATAATAAATATTATATAAGGAAGAGTAGATTTAAAAAATTGAAATATTCTTAAGAACTACTACTTACAAATTAAAGAAAACAATTATGAAATTTTACACTGCAGCAATCATTTTCTTACTGAGCCAACATGTTTCAGGTAAAAACTCAATGTAATATTAAATCAGTAAATGAATAAGAATTCCACCACAATTTTCACTGTATTTTTAGAGGTACATTAATACTCACATGAATTTAGTACAAATTATTTTTCTTTCTTGTATTTAAAAAAATCACAGAAAAATTTTGAAATTTCTGTCATTAAGATACAGTCAAAAGTCATTAATCCGGACTCGTCGGGACTTCGGCGATTCCGGATTATCGATTTTTCCGGATTATAGATCATCAGTTTAAATCTGGTATGATGGCATGCAGAAATTATAAAATTAAAACCATGAAACCGTAATTTATGAAATAAAGAACAATTATGATCTAAAGGGCATCAAAATTTACAAAAAAAAGCTTAATATTTATTTGTTTACTTTATTAAACATTTCTTTCAATAAGTTGTTTAAGTTGCTTCGTTTTTTTTATGTGATAATACATTCTCTTTAATTCTATAAACAGACATAATTTCTTGTTCAGTTACCAAAGTTCCGCTGTTCAAGTCCTATAATTGCTGTGTCGAGAATACCGACTAATTTTGTCAATTGAAATTTTTTCGTTTTCAATAACCTCTGTCACTTTTTTCGCTATCGGAAGCGAATTATAATGATGAGGAATTTGATTTAAATCATATTAAAGATGGAGTACATTGAGATGAAATACTACATTTAGTAAGGAATTATAAGCCAAATAAAATAAAAATATCTGCCCTGAAGATAAGGCTAGTGCTGACAGATCAACTTCCAATTCATTGCGCGCGGCGGCGTTAAAGATAAACAAAGTTTTGATAAACAAATGTTAAAGTTTAGATAAACAAAGGATATGCCTTTATCCATTTTTTGCAGCAATTCGACTTTTTGTTTAATAGACTTCGAAACACACTTTCGCTTTGTAGATCCTTTACATATTAGTAAATATATATCAGAAATTCTATTTGACATAATCGAAAGTTCAAGCTTACTTTTATAAAATTGCTCTAACAGACTGCAAAAAATAATAAGCCGAATCCAATTCGAAGATTAAGAGACAGTGCAATCTGCAACATTAAATGAATTAGATAATTTTAGAGAGCTTAGCTATACCGTCCATTATACATTAAACGCGCATTCCTAAACGTATTTTTCGCACGCCTATTCGCAGACGTAAAGGTCTTATGCGCATGCGCAGAAAGTTTGTAGCTTTGAGGTCCAGATTATGGGTTTCCGAATTAACGACTTTTGACTGTACTTATTTTTTATTTGAAATTAAACTGCTATTCAGATAGTGAAACTAAAAAGTCAGTAGTATTTCTTAACTTTTATATTCACAATCTAATACATAAAAAGATTTGCAGTAAATTCTTC